CCACGTTCACGGAAAGACTCGTTTTTTAAACGTGACATTAAAAATTGGAAAAAGTGAAGAAGAAAAATGTAGGTTCACTTTCCAAGACTGTTTTGAAACATAATGACGATTAAAAAGATAATCTCACCAAAAGATAATTTATAAGCATCGTGAAAGACATATTCTTATTAAATCAATTATTCAAGATAAACTAACATTATGTGACTTGATTTGACATTAACTATACAGCGTAATTCAATACTAGCACGACAAAGTTCGTCAGATGTTTCTACAAAATTCTCAAATACAACAAAAAAGCTCGTATGAACCGTGGTCCGATTCTCAACCCTTTCGCATATATTCAACATTTTATGTTTTCCTCAATTATCTACTGTTTTTATCATAAATCTACTCAATCTTGAACTATTAATTTTTAGAAAAATAAAAAAATGTAAATAGCGTTAAATTTGCTTTAAGAAAGCACATTTCTCGAACTTCAAATTTAATTATTAATTAAAAAGCACAAACTTTTGCCACAAAAATTAAAAAAACTAAATTCAAGGTACAGCTTGGCAAATTTTATAACAACCTTCTTCGTTTAGTAAGCTCTCTAGAGGTATTCCACTTTTCTTTAATTACGCCGAAATGCAGACATTCTATGCTAAATGGGACAAAACTGGTGACAGTGTAGAAAAGGGGAAGTGGAGGTTAATTCGACTTTTCGCCCTTGGCAAAATTTATTTTTCAACTTTAACTTCATAAAAAAGCACAAAAAGAAAGAAAAATTAAAACGAAACACATAAAAATAGATAGGCAATAAAAATAGATTATTTAGAATGATAAAGATAGATTGATTTTATGTTGAATTCTTTTCTTTTTCCACAAAAATAAAAATACAAAAAGAAAATTCAAAGGACAAAAAGAAAAATTCAACGTAATAATTAAACAAAACATACTAAAAAAAGAACAATAAATGTAGTGAACAAGCAGAAAAATTACGCTGTGATTTTTTAGTAGGTTAAGGTTTGGTTTTGCAAAATTCGTATTGTTTTTCTTTGTTGGTTTGTTTTGATTTATTGTCTCTTTATTATGTGACTTGTTTGATTTTTGCGTCGATGTTTTTTTTTTTTGCTTTTTTTATTAATATGAAAACGAAATTGACGAGCGAGTTAATTAAGCTTTAAGTTCTACACAGATGCATCTTTTAAAAACTAGCTTTTAATGTATAATTTTGTATGTATAAATAAAATCATTATTGACTACACACAGAATATAACAAATATTCATTCATTGAAATTGGTATACTAATGTACTGTAGTAAATACTCTACTCAACTAAGAGAGAAAGAGAGAGAGAGAGAGAGAGAGAGAGTGTTAGAGAGGTATATAGAAAAAGAGAAAAGATGGCGAGAGCGAGTTATAAAAAGAAGGGAGAGAGAGATATGGTCAGAACGAGTTATAGAAAAGAGAGAGAAAGAGAAAGGGGGAGAGAGAGAGGCGTGGAATAAGAAAGAGAGATAAAATTTACAAAATAGAAAAGAGAAAATGAAAGAAGAAATAAGGATAGAGAGAAGAAGCATGAAGAGAATGTGAAATAATAAAATGAAAGAATAAGAAAAAAGAAATGAAAACAAAGTGAGGAAGGAGATATGTGTGAAAAACAAAGAAAATATGAAAGAAGGCGGAAGAAAGAGAGAAAGATTTAAAATTAAAGACACCGTGAATAAAATCAGAATCAATTTTAGAATCTGGTATTTTTCTATTTTTTAATGAACCATTTAGTTTTTCAATTTCGGTCATGTTAATGTTTACAATAAACTTTGATTGCTGCTTTTAAATTAGGATGTACACGAATTTTTGTTCTCTACCCAGAAAACAAGATGAAAGATAATGAATTTTTCAAATTCCTATTTCTTTGTCATTTCGTTTCCCGGTGAAAGTAACGATGCGATAGGAGTGTTTAATCTATTTTTCACACTTCTTTCTAATTAAATTTGTTACGAAGTTATGTAAAATTTCTACTACGAAGTTAAAATGGGAATTTATGTTTTTTCAAATTCCATATTCAAAACCCTTCCACAAGGTTTTATTTGTATTTACATTTTTTTTTGTATTTGGACAATTTGAAATCGTGATTAAAATTTGGAAAAATATATGTGCTTAAATTGCTGCTTTTTAAAAGAGTGACAAAGGGACGAGTATTTTTAAAAAATGTTGCAAGTTATTCAACTTCTTTCCTTGCCATTAAAAAATTACTAAATTAAGAAAGGTCATTATTGGCAATTTTTTGCTGTAGCTAGCTTTTTTTCATAATCTTCAAGTAACACTTAAATTTAGATAATTTAATCATATAATAATAATAAATAAACTGTTCAATGAAGAAAAGTTTTATGTGATATTACATTTTACACAAATTATTGAACTGAGCCCTAAGCTATTGCAACGAACTTATTTAAATATAAATGTAAATTAATTAAAACACTTATTTGTGTTAATGATACTAATTATTTATTTTCAACACCTACAAATATAGTAAACACATACAAATATATTATATTACAATGATTCATTACGTAGTTTATTCTCTTTTATTGTGAATACTGCAATTAATTAAGATAAAATATTTATTCAATTATTATCGATATTGTAATGTATGTTGTATGCTCTGTAAAATGGTTTAAGCCATGAATGAAAGATTGTTATTATTAAAACACGTTAACACTGGAGGAGTGAATGTTCTATGTTCCTATCATAATTTATTGGCATGAATTAATTTATTAGCAAGAAAGGAAGGGGTTGTTTAACTCTGAAGGCGGGAATGTGACCAGATTTCTGTATTTGTATAGGGTGGTGATGTATATATACGTGTTGAATGTTTTATGTCTATTCTGTAGTTGGCTACCTGAGGAACAAATGAGAGGCTACATTTTAGGATGTCGACTTAGTTTTTATATAAAAGAAGTGTAAAAAGAGAGCTTAAATGGCTGTAGTGTGAAAAATACGCTTGAAAGATCTGAAACTAAGCAACCAAAAAACGCAGAACGCCACATAATTATTATTATAACAAGTTAAAAAATTTCAATGGATGCACTCAACAACTTAGGTACCTAGATTTGAAATTTGTAAAATTTCAACGCAACTTTTGGAATGATACGTATGTAAGGATATTTAATATACTTAGGACTTATTTATAGCACATGCTTATTACTTATTATCTTTATGGTTTAATTTTAGTGGTCACCATTGTACATTGTATGTACTAGGATTAATTTGACATTGAACACTGTTCTGGAAAACTAATTAGACCTGCCTCGAACGATACTATTATTAGCTATTATGCTATAAAGTTTGATAAGTTCGGTTAAGCTATTAAATCGGTTTACAAAGTTTTGCTGGTAATCAAAACAAAATTTTCTTCAATTTTAAGTATTACGTATTAACTTTACACATAAAATATTATCATAGAATGTTTCTATCACTGTTTTTAATCAGAGGAGAAACTGCCAAAACAACATAATAAAATTGTAAATAAATAAACTATATGTTTATTTATTTTTTGAATTTCTTTTAAAGCATTGGGTTGCACAAACAACATACTTCAGGTTTTTCCCATATGTTTTTATAACGTATACAGAACATTTTTTAAGAAAATTTAAGGTTTATAATAGTTTAGAAAAAAAATCATTTTTTCATTCTAATAAAAATAAAATTTTTTCCTTATCAGATAATTTCATTGTAAATGTTTAAAAATAAATTGTCATTAATTATTGAGTTTCCATTGTAATTGAATTAAACTTTATGAACTTTACATTATCTCAACTTTACAACAATTAATTGTCGGAAACAATCAACAATCATCTTGATCAACAAGAACAACAAATTTTTAAGATATAATAACACGAAAAAGATTAAGTTCGTTCTACTTACAATTATAAGTATAAAATATTGTAGATGTAGATGTAATATACGGGGTGGGTAATGCACTGCGCCCTTGAGATTTGACAAGGTAACTTATTAGCGTGAATGGTACAGCTAACCCCAATTACTCCGAGAAATATCGATCTCGAGAAATCTGGTGCAGTGTGAACGAATGTATGAAAGTAACTTATTAGCGTGAATGGTAGGGCTATACTAAATTACCCCGAGGAATTTCAACCGCATTGGCGCATTGTGAATGAATGTGAAACTATTTTATTACCATGAATTGCAGTGCTATCCCCACTTACCCCGAGAAATATCGACCAATCTGGTGCAGTGTGAATGAATGTGAAGGTAACTTATTAGCGCGAATGGCAGAGCTATCCCCAATTTCTCCGAGGAATGTCGTGTTCTCGGTACGGAGTGAATACCAAATTACATCAATAAGTTGGCCAGTGAAACTTGCAAAGAAATTAGAAGGAAGAGTTCTTTTAAGATATGTTGGGAATATCACCAGTGAAAGGGATAAATTAAAAATGTGAAGAAGGTAATTGATAATAAGATAGGTTGAAATCAATTTAAGGAGCAGTTTGTTATTTAATTATTACAAAATGAGTTTTTATCATTAAGGTTTTTAAAAAATATTTCTATCTAATCTAACTGGTTTCAACATAAAAATAATTGCCTTCGATTTAGACTTATGAATTATAAGGCATGATTTTTTATATTTTATTTGATCTTTAAGCATAAATTCAATTAATTTTAGGACATGGTGTATTTTTTATAACTAGATGGAATTAACGTAAAAATTTTGGGTCATGAACCATGATTTTTTTCTTATGGCCTGAGATATTCGGCCAAAGAGATTAATTTGGATTCCTTTTCTTTTTGTACTTCATACTTAACGTTCTAAGGATTATCACCTATTATAAGGATAAGTACATCGTATCTTCTTTATTTTAACTAGTTGAAAGCCCAGGGTCAGACCGACTCTCCTCATCGGCCGACCAGGGCCAAAGGAGACCTGGAAACTTTCGTTTCGTCGCAAGGGATGTTATTCCAACCGAAGGAGTAGGAGCACCCGGACCTGGTGGGGGCTTCTGATCGGGGGTAGTGGGGGGATATAAGGAGAGAGACATCAACCAGCAACATCCAGACCTCGCGCGAACTTCCACCGACGAAGTAAGTAAACTTCAGCAGCCTGCTGGATGCCGGCCGGCTTTTCAACTCATGTGTCAATGTGATTTCAGATGAGAACCTCTGTCGCATACGTCGCCGCCCTTTTCCTCCTTGGCCTCGCTTCGGCCGAAAACGATCCCAACGATGACCCGGCCATCAACTCATCATCCTTGGTACACGACGTAAGTTTTTATTTGATTCCGTTGAATTTTTATTTTATACTGACCAAACATTCCGACTGACTGATAATTGGATAATGGTCAAATTTCTCCGACTTGCTATCTCCCTCGACAGAAATTTGGCTTAATGATGCAATAATGGTAAAAATTGGATCTACCACATACGTGACTATTACATACTCATGGTTACATTTTTGACCCTCATTTATTTTACCTTCCACAATGTGCCAAAAAATTTTCAATGACTGAATAAATTCCACTTTTCTTGAGGTTTTTGATACATCCAAAAATTCGTTTGTGGTTTTAAGCAAGTATTAACATTGTCGCGACTTTTATGACGGAGCATGCCATTTGATTATATGTTTTGACATGATTTCTATTATTAGTATGTACATTTTTTTATACAATAACAACATAAATCTATTTTGGTTATTATTTAATATTTTCATAAAGGAAAATTTGTGTTATAATTTATAGGAAATTATTTTTTAATCAGATTAACTTTCACTTTTTTTATGTTTTTTGAGTCATACTTCTTAAAAATTCGCTTGTAGTTATACACGTATTAAACTTTGCCGCCCCCTTTTTTTACCGACTATGCCGTACTTATGATTTCTAATAATTATGATGTGTACTGCCTTCTAGCAACATAAATCTCTTTTGGTTATTATTTATTATTTTCACATAAAACTCATCCTCTTATAACGAGAGTTCTATTTTTTTAAATAATTCTATGTCATTATATTTTATGTTATGTTAGGAAACTATATTTCTCATGGTGTTATAATTTATAGGAAATTATTTTTTAATCTGGTTAACTTGCACTTTTTTTTACGTTTTTTTTAATCATACTTCTTAAAAATTCTCTTGTAGTTATATATTGTATTATACTTTGCCGCCCTCTTTTTTTTACAGAATATGTCATACTTACGATTTCTAATAATTAGGATGTAAAACTTGTAAAACTGTCTTTTGGCAATAGCAACATTAATCTCTTTTGGTTATTTTTTATTATTTTATATAGAACTCATTCTCTTAGAACGAGAGCTACTATTTTAATTTTTTTTAACAATTTAAACAAAAAACATATTTCTGAAAGTGTTATAATTTATAGGAAATTATTTTTTAATCATATTAACTTTAATTGTTTTACGTTTTTTAATCATACTTGTACGTGCCACTGAAAAAATTCACTTATAGATTTAAACAACTATTAAACTTTGCCACCATTTTTTTAAAGCATACGCCATATTTATGAATTCTAATAATTATGATGTAAAACTGTCTTCGAGCAATACCAACATTAATCTCTTTTGGTTACTTTTCATTATTTTATATAGAACTCATTCTCTTAGAACGAGAGCTACGTTTTTAAATTTTTTTAAACAATTTAAACAAAAAACATATTTCTCAGTGTTATAATTTATAGGAAATTATTTTTTAATCAGATTAACTTTCATTTTTTTTATTGTCTTATATATAACTCATCCTCAATTTTTTAAACAATTATATGTCATTACATTATACATTATAAAATATTTCCTAACGAACACATATTTCTCATAGTGATATGAGCTATACGAAGTTATTCTTTAATCAGTTTTTAACTTAACTAAATTTTGACTTTTTTTATGTTTTTTTTTATTCATACCTCTTAAAAATTCAGTTTCATTCGCTTAGACTCCACTTTTTTCTTTCTTTTTTTATAGAATGTGCCATACTTATGATTTCTAATAATTCGACTCTCACCCGAAGGGTTGTCACTTCCCGAACTTCCCGATGTGCTGCCCCTAGGGTACAACTCACCTACCCAGTTATGCGGCTGATCGCTAGTTTTCCCCTTAAGCCAGATGCCCAGGAGATCGTCGTTTCCCAACCAACGGGGTTAGACTCCAGCGGCGGCTTTTGATAGGTCATTTCAATCCCCAACGCATGGAAACTGTAATCTAGCCTAATATTAACTAAATCCCATAATACAGACGCACAAATAAATACATTCATACGTTGCTATCGACCTACACACAACAGTAATCTAATCTAAATTAGTATCGATGGTGTATTTTTATAAAAATTCTGCGATCAACCCTAAACTACATAGGTAACGCTATATTTCACCGCTCAATGTTAACTGTAATAAATACATGCATTCCCACAAAACACATAAAACAGATGTATAAGCAAAAAAACCCACATCTTCTGAAAAGAGGTACGGGGGCCAAGAAACTCGCTACCGTGACCGAGAATCTTAAATCCGGCGGCATGCTTACACGCTCTCTGTAAGGAGCCAAGGTACAAGCTTCTATTATGAAGAAAACATCCAGCAATCTGCATAAGGGCACGAGCGCGGGCTATAGCCCAGGTTATTATTAATTTTACATAGAAATCATCTTTTAATGTTCTATTTTTTAATAATTCTATATGTCATCATATTATAAATGTGTTTGTTAAGGCAACATATTTCTCATAGTATTATAATTCATGCGAAGTGATTTTTAATCAGCGTAACTTCAAAAAATTCGAAAAAAAATTACAAATTGGTTTATAAAAATGAAGGATTTTCCCGGTCGGAAATCTTTTTCCTCGTCACATATTTATCACATACGCACTAAAGCTTATATTTTTAATTAAATCAATTATTATTATTAATAAAGAACACTAGAATATATTTGGAAAAACGGAGATGTCACTTCAGGCGATGAAATACAAACTGAATCCCTTCTAAATCCATACCCACGCGGATTTTCTTACTGCGAAAATTGGTAAATTGACTCAGATTTTTGTTGTTATTTTAATTAAACAAATGAGAAACGTATAATTCGGAAATTTTTCAAAATGTTGGGATTTTTAATTCTTATTCGTTGATTTAATTATCCATTTTAGCAGAATATTTGCATCTTGCTATATTCTGGCAGATATTGTAATTATTATCTAGTAAATATATATCGTATCAGAAATCGTGGTAAAAATGAAAAAATAGGCCATATACCAATATGGTTAATAATAGTAATCTAGGTGTTAATTACTAGTGATTGAATTTTTTTTTTACTGTTTTAATTAAAATATTTATTTTTTTAATAAACTAGCATAATTTTCATTAAGGCTAATTTAATTTTCTTTTAGAAGGAATTAATGTTTTATTGAAAATGTGCATAGTTTGAAAATATTATAAGATCTATAAGAAAATATACCCAAGGGGATTTATGTATTAGATTTGCCCTGAGTGTTTTCATTCTCTAGTTGGTTGTTCTTTTTCTTTTAAATAGAATAATGCTACTGGTTTTATAGTTTCAAGATATGAGTATAAAATTTTGCTCCTTGTTTTAAAATCCCTTTGAGCCAGGGTGAGATATATGTTAATACATGTCTTTCGTGATATATTGTTTTTCAAATTGCTCGCAAGTGTGTTAGGGTGTTAAAGGGCAATTGGCAGATTAAAAACGAAAAGTCTTCATTGATGCCCTTGCTGGGAAGGAGACGTTTTCTATCTCACTCTTGTGGATTGAGACATTAATCACGATTTGGAGCCGGGAGAGATTTCATTGAGGAGACTCTCGTCAATGAAGGCAATTAGCTTGCAGAATTCCCGTCGCACTCGTAGTAGAAAGGAATTTAACGACTGATTACTGGATCGCTGGTAAAAATTAAATCGATATAAAACTCAGTAAAAAAAAATCTAACGCGGTTAATTTATCAATTTTGAATGATAAAATCGTGCAAGTAGTTGAAGAAAGGTCGAAGAGCTGCGGCATTGCGGTCTCACCCAGTTGGCCCATTAAATTTTTTTTAAAAATTAAGCCCCTAGTTTGCGTGCCGCCCTTGGTACTAAAGGGCTAATGGATATTAATGAGATATTTTAAAATGTATCTGTAAAGTTTGAAGGAAAAGACGTCCTGCGGAGGAAACGTGAATGCTTTTTTTATCCTTATTTCCCCAGGAGTCGGCACACAAGGGTCACAGCTCTCGTTTAATCTCCTCTATTAGCCTACTAAACAATAGAATAGTCACTGGAATTTTCTTATCGGATGAAATTTTTTGCCATAAATTGCCGAAGATAAGAGGGAATATTTTGTTGCTATGGGATACAAAGTAAACAGCCGATTGCGAATTTGCTACAGATTTTTTTTACCTTTAATTTTACCCCTTGTTTAGTTTAGTTTTTAAAGAAATTTTTTACTTTTTTTTATATAAATCGTTATATAAAAGCCCTTTGATAAAGTTATGTTTGGAAACTGAAAGTTGACAAGAGAAAAACAAAGAAAACGTGATGGAAAATGTTCAAACCAACCCACTCAGAAAAAATGTAAAATGTTTCTATAAACAAATTGTACAACGTTTAAGAGCTTTTAATAAACAAAAAGAAATCACAAAATCAACCTTGTAACTCTTCTTCTCAAACATTCCCAAGCTTTTAAATTAACAAAAAATATATAAAACTATCACATTTTCTTATCATTTTTTCCATCTTAATATTTGTACTTACATTTTTCAATTAAGATAAAAATATAAACACAAAAAAAAACGTAAGCAGGTTCAAAGCATCACATTGATCAACTAAAATTTTAAAGAAATTGTCTAAACAATAACACTTTTTATTAAGTTAAAAACTATTAATTTTTAAACATCACAGGCACAATTATTAAGTAGAACTTTTTGTACAGTCTTGGTTGTATTTCTATTGGAATAAAAAGAAAACTACAAAAACTTTTTAACTAAATTTTTTTTAAACAAAAAGTTTTTCAATGCATAATTAATAAATGAGTGGTGATGAAGATGAAAAGTGACTAGGAATTTGCGGTTTATGTTCCCAAAGCACTGCAGCCTTCTTTATAATTTACAAATTCAGACGAAAAAGGGCCATTTTCGGCCGGCGTTATATTTTCTGTTTCTTTCTGTACCGTCGACGCTCTGCAGCCTTCTGGCTTTTTGTACTTTCCAAGTTCCTTAGTCGGTCAATTCGATCCTTTTTTTTAAGGATCCTTTAAACAATTCCTATCCCTGGATTT